GGTCAAAGTACTATATATGATTTCTAATGTCACGATTTACAGGGGAGTGCTAGTTATCACTCACTTAGCTCTAATTATCCCTCACTCTTGTGTACGCGATTGGTCAATACCTTACACCCTACCCTGATTGTTACTCGTCCCAGTAACCTATAACCTTACATCTACCAATAAGAAAAGAGCCTTGAGTAGAGTGAGGGCTCATTAACCCTAAGTGAGTGATAACTAACAGCTCCCGATTTCTATCATAATATTATCTAGTATCCTTAAGTGAACTCATAAAAATTGTGCAAGTGTCTCTCTTCTTACATATCAAAAGAAATCTATTGGAATAATCGTCTATCACCTCCATTACTATTTCAGCAATAGTTCCCCAAATAGAACCGGACACCTTAATAAAAGTTAACCACTAATACTTATGACAAGGGCAGTTTTTGGATAAGTACAGGGTTTAGGGTTAATAAGATAGTATGACGGTTCCGTTTGGCTTATGCAGTTCTACCGAATCCCGTTCGAAATCCTTGAGGTAGATTGGCACAATTACAAATCTAGCAAGATAATTTAGTGCATCCCAATAGATAGACTCTCATTGGTGTTAAGACATGGAATACCATAACGGTTATACAGAAAGCCCACTCCCGGGTAATTAAAAATCATCTTAAAATCTTCGAAAACGTACTCGAGGGACTTTATCAGAATGTGGAGGTGTCCAAATACGGTCATGGGATACACCGCGGAAGGCCATTGATCTTTGAGATTAATGGCATTTTCTACTGATGAATGTTCTGTTGTGCGAGTTTGAACATGCCATGCTCTGCATTCTTGTTAGATATGTGTTAATCCTCTTGCATATTTTGTCGACTCTTCTTATAGCTCCTCTTGTTTTCCTTTACTCTTTGGCTACTGTATTCTCAAAACCACGGAGAGAGTTTTTTTTTCTCATTATAGCAGTGGAGGCCTTGTATGACAGTCGTTGTTGCATTACTCTTTCTAATTGCATGGATTTCCGTGTCTCTCGTGGTTCTAAGAGACTCTTATACCAAACGCGACGTCCAGATATCTTCCCAGTTAGTCAAGTATAAGAACATGATAGAATGTAATTTGTGCTATAGTACGGTACAGACAAAAGAAAACATAAAATATCCCTCAAAGATTTCGAACGGACACGATAACCCTTCCCCAGAAAGGCCTGCACCACCAGTCTCCTATCATTGTGCCACGTTCGAACAGACGCTAGATATGATACTCATGGAACAGAGAATCTGGTTCGTTGTCGCAAAGCTCAAGTAGGACAGTACTCTTTCATAAGGCTTCCGAAAATCTTTGTACTCTTTCCTCCTTTGAGCGGATTGCCAGCCACTTGTGAACCACTCGAAACTTTGAACGTGAAGAACACGATTCACCTTCCCACACCAAACAAAACCATGCACGTCTTTACACTTCTATAGATAGCAACTATTATTCATAGACATTTACAAGTATGGAGTCCGACTAGTACAGTACTGTATATTGTGTTCCTTTTTTAGATTGTATGTATCAATTACGCGGAAAAATAGCATTAGCTAGTACAATCAGTTTTTGTGATCATCTACTGTTTTGACCTACGTTAGTCTGGCATACTGTATGAGGTAATCTTATGGTAAGTAATATATATGTTTTGTGCAGTTGAAGTTGAAAGTTGGTTAACATTTATGTTTACACGGACAGTTCATACTTTCTTCTACAATTAAAACGAGTTTCAAAATGTTCAAGTATGGAAATGCTCAATGAAGCTTAAGAAGCTTTGACCACGGTTCCACTGGATATTGGATTTTGGTTGCTTTTGAAGGTCTTTATCGTCAGCATTGCCGCTCCTAGCTCACTCTATATACTTTGGCATTTCAGAAGCAAATTGAACAATCCCATAGAATTTCGCGTGTAAAACATGTATCGAAAAAGAGCAAAAAGTGACTGCAATTAACGGATCTCCAAAAATTGAAAAGTTTTTGAAACTTTCAACAAGCGAAATCACACTGCAGCAACACGCATGTCTACAAAGATACGCACTGCAGAAAGTAAATAACCAGAAGGATGGGAAGACCCATCAAAACCCATAAAGCAGATTGGTAGGTACGCATGGAACCATAATGACCGTAGTCAACCATGGTGACATGAGTGAAGTCGGCTGTCTTTGAATCTCATCGCTTTGAAAGTGCAGGCGATCACGTTAGAATAGGTACGAAATCAAAATAATGATGTAAGTTCGAACAGCCTGAGCTCTGTTTCCAGTCATGGAGATTTTTAAAGAGCTGTCTTTGATTTTCATATTCTCTATAAATTTTAAGTGCTTTATGTTCTCATTTCTCATCAGATGTACTAAATCATATTTTTTAAAAACCATTTATTCATTTTCATACTATGAATTAGCTGTTCCAATTCAATATAAGCACTGAATTGAGTTGTACAAGTCTCGTCGTCCTTTTCTTTTTCAAGCATGGTTTGAAAGAGATTAGAGACTTTGAAAGATAATGATATGATAAAAGGAGTCGATCCTGTGATTGTTTATAATTTCAAGACGAAAACAAAATAAAAAACCTCTCTTAAAAATATCTTTTATTCCATGATCATATTCATTATGCAAGCGCTAATTTAAAAAAGGCTTTAAAAAAATAAAATCATCTAATGTTTAAGATCGGTAATGCATAGACTTAAAGAATCAATCCGTATAAAATTAAAGTTGTATTATTCATGGCTTTAAGTATGATGAGTGTCAAACTACAAGTCTGTTAATCACGTTAACCAAAAATATATTGGAAAAATATAATTAAAATATGCATATTACAACTAGTGCATAAAATATTTCATTAAGTATCAATTGATAATTGAATCTTTGTCATTTTAATATTCGTCATCCAAATTAGAATATAAGACATTTAGATGATTTTACGAAAATAATATATATTTTAATCTTCATTTTGCATGGCATTTGATTCTCATTATGGCTGAAAATATTCCTTAGGTTTCCTTCCATACGAGACTCATGATCTTCTTTCCCAGGAGATCCTATTGTTTGCCCTAGATCTTTATACTTCGCCCTAGAGTTCCTATGAAATATCTCCTTTTTTAACTCTTATGTTCCCTTTCTTGTTCTGTAGGCTCATAACATATCGGCCAGTCGATCCATAACAAGTTACTAGTCATAGTTTGTTGATTTTACTTATCTGTTCCCGACAAGTTATCGATGTAACCACATCTCAAGCAGATGAACCCTGACAAGCTATAAAAAAACCTTACCACACAGTAGCGATAGAAAGCATGATCTTTGCTCCATTAGACTCTGACATCTGTCATCGAACAGACCACTACTACATTATTGTCTAATCACCTGTGATTCACAGGTTGAGCTCATCCTTGACTTTCGCATAGAATGTATAGTGCTCATTGTGTTTCTCACAAAAAAATATTATTTTAACGGTGGGGCTAGGAAAACGAGAATGATTATCCGGTCACAATAAACTGATCACTGCGTATTGCATTTCTGCTGGCAGCCACTTCAGGTTGTGGTCACTGATTAATCCAGAAATGACTTTCTGGGCCCCTGATTTGGCATGTCGGACAGACTCGGACAATTAATTCTCACATGTTTTTAGAACCCATGGCCCGTACAAGCTGACGTGTAGGGTGGCATGGCATGCCTACATGGCAATGGCACTATTTGTGCATTGTATTCGGAATTTACATTCGTTACAAGAACAAGGTCTCTAACCCTTGCAGCGCCGATACGTCTATGAATGTCATTGTTAGAACTCGGTGAGAACGCAGAAAAATACGAAAAGGATGGGAAAGTCCATCAAGTACGGACTATGCGCGTGTGGGGCATGCCATGTCGAAGTATGGTAGTCCCTCCTCCATTAGGATGAGTTTGTAGAGTACAATACATGATGAAGATTTTCATCATCAAAGAGACCATTCTTTTAACCACGTGTCGAACACTAACTTTGAATCAATAAACGGGGAACAAGTAAATTTCAGTAAGGAACATTACGGGTTGACCAAGGTACTTTGGGAACATATAATGTCTCACGTTTGTCAAGAATGTATTTAGGCCATATCATACCAAGTAACGATGATAACACTTGTTGGACTCTGTTACACATATATTAAACAAAGAATTTTTATATGTTTTTCTTTCAAAGAACACTATATTATTTTATTTATGAAAAAATTTTCAATTTGGAATATTTTTTGAATTTATTTTTAATATGAAAAATTCATTTGATTCAAATAATTTATATATTTCAGATATATTGTGATGAATTATTTTGCAATGTTATGAGATTCTATAATTTCTTAAATAAATACAGTTAATGCATGATTTGATCTATCAATGAATTATAATTGATGTTCATACATAACACCTCAAGTTATGTGAAAATAAGCCAACTTCTAGAATCTTAAAACTTGAAACATCCATGTTTTTTTCCCAAAGTTTATACTTAATAGATAATAATAATCGATCATTCAGTATATTAATTAATACATATAATTTCCGATATTGTGTAAATGGATATGAAAAAGAAAAGTAAATAGGAAAGGAGCAAGTAATATACCAATCGTGGTATATAAACATGGCAGTCAAAATGGTTCAAAAACTACTCAGATCATCACAACCTAGTCTCCCCATACAGTTGTATGCATAGTTTCAAGTTTTCGTTCGTCTAGCTTTGCATCTGTGTGAACACGTTCTTGAGAAGTTACAATACTAGCTGGTATGAGATAAAAAACATCAAGAGTGGATCACATTGGATGATTCAAGGGATGTTATGACATTTTTTTACCACGACCGGTAGGATATTGTACATATGTTTCCAATGAATGCTAATGGGGAAAGCCCATGTTACCCGTTGGGGGTCTTCCCATCTTTGTTATTTTATTTTAATGTGCACTCCTCTCCCATTCCGTCCCATAAAGTAGTGTATGAGGAAGGAGATACGGGGCCAGCCATGCACCCCGGATCCAGAGTTGACGACCTCTGGACCGATGGCGCACGCGTGTCAGTTTGGACATTCACGGCTCTCGTGAGTGGTCTCGTACTGCTGCCTGCAGTGATCCTCAGCTTCTCATCGCTGGATGGTGTCACGGTGCCAAGGTCATCGCTGCAGTACAGGCCAGGAGGTCCTCTGAGTTTAGTACTGGATACTCCAAGGGGCTCAGCAGCTAGTACATAATGAACGCTGCGAGCTGCGGTCGGATCCATAAGTCGATTTGCGGAGAATATTGAAAGTCGAGAGAGGGAGCGACGCGAGACTGCAAGCGAAGAAGATACTTGACAGATATATTTGGGTGGTCTAGTCGCTTCATGGAAGATTGGACTTTGCGAGGTGTGGGTCTACAGGCATCTCTGTTTGAAGAGGTGGGCGAGGAGGAGGACGAGGAGGAGTCGAACTTGCTCGCAGGGCTTGGTCTTGAATTCGGTTTTTTTCCTCGTCCTGCGGCGCTGGCAGAAGTCATCAGGCAAGATTCGGTTGCGCTTTCAGCTGGACCGGAGAGAGAGCTAGTGCCGATGAGAGTACACAACTTCCGCCGCCTCTACAGCTGCTGCTCCCACTGACGAGAGATCGCTGTGACAAAAACGTGATGAGTGGATTCACTCCACTGCACTGCACAATCCGCTGCGCGTAGTAAATCAATTGTCTCACACAATGGGTGTGCACTCTCCGTTCAACGGAGTCTTGCAGGATATCAAGTGCCGTCTTCCTTACCTGAAAGATGACTGGACAAGGGGATTTCTGTCTACTTACAGGTTTGTTCCCTCTGAATTCACAATCAACACTTACAGGAACAAAACTTGGGACGAACATGAGTAAAACCGGTAAGAGATTTTGCAGCTTCTATTGTGAGAAATTCTGTAAGAATTGGCGGGTGTCTCCTAGCAAGCTGCCAATGGTCTGGTCAATTTCTCTGGCAGGCACAGCGGGGTAGTTTCTGCATTGCACCTGTCGTGAATGGTCTTTTCCATGTCTTCAAACGTTCTCATGCATCTGTGTTCCGGAGGTAGGGGCGCATAATGATTTGCCAATTCACAAGAAACTAGTCCTACGAACTTTGGCTTTGATCAAAACGTAAACTTCTCAAGACTCCGGAGATTCTCCCGAAAGCTTGTAAACCCTCGCGTTTTTCATGCGGAATCTGATTAATGTGGCGAAGTATTTAGTGATGAGAAGAAATTGGATGTAGAGACAGGTACAGAAACCGAGGTGCCGTTTAAAGTTACAATCATGGAGTCTGTTGACCGTCCATCATGTTATCTCAATGAGTATCGTAGGTGACTCTTGAAGATGTTACACCGTGTTCACCTCTTAGTTCAATTCCTGGATTCATGTTTCCGAACTATTTAATATAGATCAGTAATTTGCAGCTCAGGTTTACACTGTCTTTTTTGGTATTTTGTCGCACTTACGACGCTGTACTGCTGTGGGTGAACTTTCGCAACCTTGGAAGACACAACTTTTAGATGTCAGCGATTCAACTCGCGGTATACAGCTGATTGCCGATATTCCATGTTCATCAAGTTGAAGATTGAAATACTTGCCGCTTCCCTTGTTCTGTCCGACATGGATACATGAAGATTAACCCACGCCATGATTTTGCTCGAGGCATTTTGGACTGCATGACCATACTCTGATAATAATTCGTTTGCAATGCAGAATCTTCGTGCCAACTACTTACATTTTCTTCGCCTCACTTTTGCCCGTTATCGCCTTTGGGGAACAGCTCAGAAGAGATACAGGTACTGACTGCGGATCTTCGCACTTTGATGTGCATTCCATGTCACTGGAAGTGGAGGACACCTCTTAACGAGTGCTTAAGTTTTGTAATGTGCAGACGGTGCTATCACCTCCAATCAGGCGTTAATTTCAACTGCTTTGTGTGGGGTGCTTCACTCGCTTATCGGAGGGCAGCCTTTGATGATTGTCGGTTTGTCGGAACCGACATCATTAATGTACATTTTCATGTACAGATATGCAAAGGGGAAGACAAGCATGGATGGAATGTTCCTGGCCTGGGCAGCATGGTAATATGCAACCCTTAAGTCCCTTAGTTTGCTTCCTCTGATGGTCAATGTTTTCACAGGAGACTTTGATGTTGTTGCTTCGAAGAGAAGGAACACACAGAATCATGTTCGACACCCCGACAACTTATGAAGTGTTGATATTATTGACTTGTGCAGGGTATGTGTATGGGCATCAGCAGCTTTGATGTTGCTGGCCGTGTTTGGAGCTTGCTCTTTGATCAACAGATTTACACGTGTCGCTGGAGAACTCTTTGGACTTCTAATCGCCATACTATTTGTCGAACAGGCTGTCAAGGTTAGGGGCTCAAATTATCATGTGGGGATATGAGAAAATCTGAAAAACAATTTATGTGTCACGATTTAATGATCAATCATATATCTTCTTTCAAATTTTTGTGTACACAATCCTTCACGCAGTAGAAACTGAGCTTCACTTGTTGTTTCAAATTGACGGTCCTGTAAATGTCTTAGTCTCGATGACACATGAAACAGTTTTTTGAACGGCTGAATTCTTGGACATGGTCATGAGCAGGGAGCAGTAGGTGAATTTCGCTTGCCGCATAATGAGAGTTCATCTCAAGAACAATATAGTGTTCCATGGCTCTTTGGCAACGGGATGTTTGGACTTGTTCTACTGTTTGGACTTCTCTTCACAGCGCTATTCACCAGAAGGGCACGAACATGGTCATTCGGAACAGGTACGGTCACATACATAAGATGTCCCTTAGTCCAACCATGTTTACCTTGGATAAATTTGCTCTACACTGCAGCAATCTTACCGTGGTTCATTACCCGCAACATAGCGAAATCAACCTTCATGTCCCGCCTGCTTGCGTGCAGGATGGTTACGTAGCTTGATTTCCGGTTACGGAGTTCCTCTTATGGTGCTAGTGTGGACTGGCATATCTTACATACCTGGGGATTCTGTACCAGAGGGCATACCTCGTAGAGTTTTGAGTCCTACTCCTTGGGCACGAGGGGCCTTGGATCACTGGACGATAATAATGGTACGTTCCTACAGAAAGTGTATTTGGGAAAGTTCTCAGTTAGATTTAATGTATGGTAGATAGCAAATGACACAATTTATTTCAAAAGTTATATGTTTATTGACTATGTGACCTAATTTGTTTGACAGGACATGCACAGAATACCGGTTATGTACATCTTCATTGCCATGATACCTGCTTTCATGATCACAGTTCTTTATTACTTCGATCATTGTGTGTCTGCCCAGTTGGCACAACAAGAGGAGTTCAACTTAGTCAAACCACCGGCCTATCACTATGATCTTCTAATTTTAAGCTTGACGGTAACTTTCAGATTGGTTACTTTAATTTCTCAACTTCTTACTTGCGCCTTTTCACATTTTTTATTAAATACTATTTCTCGAAATGTGTAGGGGTAGAGTGCAGCATTGTTCCTTCATGTATGTTCTGTCAGAAGCTGTGCTAACAATGTTTTGGATTTTGATAGGTTCTCGTATGTGGCCTACTTGGGCTGCCACCATCTCATGGAGTTATCCCGCAGTCCCCGATGCATACAAGAAGTCTTGCTACTCTCCGGCATCAGGTACTTCATACCTTCGATGGCACACACTTGTGGAAAGTCTGGTACTCTTACACGTGTTCAGTGATATTTTGAAGGAATATTACTTCTTTAAGTAACTTTGTACTGTTTCGATTGCAGCTAATGTGCAAGAAGTTGATAAAAGCAGCAGAGGAGAAAATGCAAAACGATGCCACAGTTACAGAAGTATACAGTAGTATGCAAACTGCTTTTGAGCAAATGGATACCAAACTCCCGACAAACGAGTTTGCCCCTAAAGTGGTGGGTTGTTTCGCCTGCCATTTGTTTATGTATGCCGTGCAGCCCATGTAATATTTTTTCAAATTTGTTTTTTCTTTTACATCTGTTTGCGTTGAAATCTTGATTACAGACTTTGAAGGAGCTGAAGCCTAAGATGTGGAGAAATTCAGTAAAAGCCATAAATCCTGAAGAATACTCGAGCGATGGTACTTCACCAAAGGCTTCTGTTGATTCCTTCGATTTTGAAGCTCCACTCAGCAGACACCACTTTGATCCAAGCAGGGACGTGGAACATTTGCTTCCTGTTCAGGTTCAGGATCAGCGGTTAAGTAACTTGCTGCAATCTTTGATGGTTGGAGCTTGTGTTGGTGCCATGCCCGTCATTCAAAAGATACCTACTTCTGTTTTGTGGGGTTACTTTGCTTTCATGGCTGCCGAAAGCTTGCCTGGGAACCAGTTTTGGCAAAGGATTACGCTCCTCTTGACATCTCCTAACCGGCGTTACAGGTGAATCCTGGATCCTCAATATGCATTCCTTGTAGTAGAAAGTTTCTCTGGATACAACAATGGGTATTGTTAGTCGTACAAAAGTTGAAATGAAGAATGAATACATATGCCCGAGCATAATCAACAGCGTAGAAATCAAAATGTGCTAAAACTTAAACCCATTTTCATTTTGCCTGCAGGGTTTTACAGAGCGAACATGCCTCGTTCCTTGAAACGGTGCCTTTCAGGGTTACCGTCACATTTACCATATTCCAGCTGGTCATGTTGTTTGCATGCTTCGGGTTGACATTTGTGCCAATTGCGGGAGTAATGTTTCCCATTGTAATTTTGGCACTTATTCCAATCAGGCAGTGGTTGCTGCCCAAAATTTTTACTTTAGAACACCTGCATCAGCTAGATGCTGCAGAGTACGAGGAGTCCCCACCAAAACCGTACGAGGAGGCCGTCAGGGTACGTCGTTGCATCTTGAGATATGAGATATGACGTGAAGGGACTTATCAAAGAAATAGTGATGTCTTGAAAATAAACAACTCATAGACACGCGTACAGAAGGTGCATGCGAGTAGGTATTGTAAACACTTGTCACTAGCATGTCTCATGTATGGATATGTAAAACAATCATTACTGCAAGGTCTGAACTGATTTTAACCACCCAAAAAATTTGCAGGAAGCGGAGGTACAAGGCTTAGGAAGAGCTTCAAGCTTGCAGGAAAGAAGCGATGATCCAGAGGACATTATGGACGAGGTCATGACCAGAGGCCGAGGTGAAATCAAGCATCGGTTATCTCATGACAGTTCACCTCGATCTTCTTTTACAGACGAACTACAACATTCACTGAACCGCCGGTCTCAGAGAACTCTAGGTAAGCGCCTGTAGAATCAACAGCATGTTATGCATGCAAACTGCTGTCTCTTCTCCTTTTTTGGAATTGATCTCAAATAATAGATTTCTCGTTGTGGTGCTCGATATGGGTAAGGATTCTTGATAACAGTCAATACCGTCCACGAACCTTACGTTGATGGATATGTGCCGTCTGTTGCTTGACAGATATTTCTCCGAAGTGATGTTCTTTTTGGTCATAAAAGCCCAGGTCCCTATTCGAGATACCTGTCACCTTCGTTGCAGTTATGTGAGCAATATTCTGAAGTTTTCTTGCAACTGATTTTTCCCATTCGACTTTAGATATCATCCGGATTGGGTGACTTGCAGGTGTATTTAAAAAATGCTTCTAATAGTGTATCACATGCATCCATCTTTAGTGCGATTAGATTGGTCGATGTACCTTTATCGAGTCTCATTCTAAGTAATTTTAAGGTTCAGTTATTTTTTGGACATGTCATTTCATACGATAAACTGACTATATACAATCTGCAGTTGATATTGAATACATATATCTCTTAAGAGAACACTATTTACTATTCATATGATTGAGCTAGTATGTCTACAGATCTTACTGAATACGTTTGTGAGTAAGGAAGTATTGCTGATTGGAACTTTTTTGCGGATGTTTGATGTAATGTGCAAAACGCTTTTGATGACAGGTCGAGGTAGTGAATGATTTTGCCATGATGATATAACCAAAATTTGTTATTTGACTAATTTTCTTCTTTGTACATCAGTGGTCTGGATTAGTATGATCTCCCCCAGTACTTTTGTCAAATTATCGGATTATCTAAAGATGATATACACTCACATTTCTGGTGTTTGTTACTTATTGTTCTAGTGGGGCTTTTTAAATATTTATATCACTGAGCAGAGTAGCTTATTATGATTTTATGTAAAGAGAGAACCTGTTGGCAGAAGCTGATGGATTGGTCTTGGAGAATGTACAGGTGCGATGTACAGCATGGGCGACAAAAGCTCGGTTTAGACCATCACCACAATTGGAAAATAGATCTCTAGGGATATTGTTAGCACTTGTATGGAGACTGCAGTGCATTAATTGGAGCTAAGTAACCATATTAGGGTAAAGAGAAAGCAGCTGTTGTACACAAAAGATTGTTCTCGAGCGAAGATGCAAGAAATAGGCCGGAACATGATGTGCGAAGAAAGCTGTAGTTGATCAAAACAGGTTAGAGAACAGAGTATTCTGAACTTTAGTAGCACCTTCAGCAGAATACAGTTCATTTATCTGTACGGTGAAATTTTCGCTGGTTATAAATAATTTCACGCAGAATATTTCATTGCCTTTCGTTTGCAATGTGGTTGAGTTCACCTTCTCACGTTTACTTTCATATGCAGGTTTCTTGACCAAGTGGTAAGAGTCTCCTCTTTATGGAGATCATGAATGCATAGTTCTTGAATGCTGTTTAGGGTAATGATTTGAACTGCTGGTCCTCTCAATTAAGCCACATCTTTCTTCTCTTGGAATGGTACAAATTTGACGGAAAAATTTCTTATGTTTTATTGCATTTTTTAGCCAGGCAATATTGACGGAAATCTAGTCAACAACTTTAGTGTTCACCATGCTTTTCACCTTTTCCTAGAGTTCTTCTTCGCCCCCTCGCGGTCTAGAGCAGAAACCTATGCACTAATGTACCAGCCTAGTCAGAGTGACGGAAGTATGGTTCTCCCCCTCCAAATGTTGTTGACGATTTTTGGAGGATATGATTTACTTTCATACTGTGACCGGGACTGTAATATTGAACCTGATCTCATCCATAACTTGAACATATGGAGGAGATGACTACTTTCAACACCGGCTATGTTCGGACTGATGCATTGATATATCTTTATTTCTATCACACGTTAATCCCTGCATAACCCCAAAGTTGCGGCTTTTTCCGCCATTTCTACCCCTCTTGTGCAGTGGCTGTCCATTCATGGGGTTCAAACGACTCAGCAACTGAAATTGTTCGCTGACCAACAAGAATTGTTCACTATACTAAGACGTTCTACTGTCGACGATTCTTCGTGCCGACCTCTCAATACCGACTCTCTTTGTGCCAGAATAAACATTGTACTCTCCAGTTCTCGCCATTCGAGGAGTCTATGTACATCTACTCATGAATACTCCTGCTGGCTGGATTGATACTATCTTGAGCTGCAGGGGTAACAGCTTTATCGTTACTGCACATTCTTACGAATCCTATCAGTAAAGGCATACACGAAATTTTCATGTACTTCTTTCACGATATCGTCCAAACGCGGGACACATTCTTACACTCTCATACATGACTCCAAGATTCCATGATATGTTGAAAACCAAGGACGACTAGAAGACATGGAACTTCTTAATCTACCCTTGAGGTCTTCATAGTTCGTGGTGTACACTATATTTGAGTTTCGACTCTGGAGTCAAAAAAAGGCCTTGATTGGCCTGAGCGATAGAGCAGAGATGTATTAACAAGAGTGCGCGAGATTTCGGAAGTACGTGTACAACTGTGTAGTTTCAACTGCCCCAATGACTTCGAGCCCTGGGATTTGACGGCGGACTTATAAAGCCACCTACAGACGTTTTACGCCCAATCATTCCGGATAATCAAGAAGAAAATCCATCTTTAGGTTTAGTCATGTGAAGTTATTCTGTAGACTGGATATAGGTTCAACCATCGGTCCGATGGCAAGCTTACAAACAAATGTAGCGACCTGTAGATGACTGACCCCATCATGGTGCTATGTGTAGAGGTTTATGCATCTGCATCTTAAAAGCAACAGAAATCAGTAAAACATAAACAGAGTGTTCAGATTGGAGAGGCATGAGCAAACACTGGAGCAAAAGAATTAAATACAAAAAAATAACGGCTTTCACCTATTTCTCAATAGAAGAATATAAGAAAGATGGAATATGTTTAAACGAAATTCGATTCATTCTCGATTTCAATACGAAATATTCATAACCAAAATTTTTGGTGACTCTCTGCCCTCCATGATGGCATATGCGTAATCACGAGGAGTCTTGTGTAGTTCTATCAACACCGTTCGTTACACTGTTTAATTATAGGGTCGAGCTAGTATACAGACACTATTGTATCATGTACTAACAGATAGAACATCATATAAAGAAGTCATCTTTCTGGAATTCTTCTATTCCTCTTTCTTCTATACCTTCTCACTGTCCTCTACGTATGCATTTCTTGTTGTAGTGAAATGGCATTCTTGTTAACAAATAAAAGAACACTTGCCACGTTTGGAAGAGCTCTCTTTCTATGACTGTCTTCTATACTTGTTGTTTCTACCTGTTAATACCTGATACAATAGTTTCTGTACTCTCACTCAAACTAGTACAGATCGTGTTGATCAGGTTATATCTTTGAAAAAACAGATATATGGATTGACACACATACACAAGTAAAATATCAATGCTTTGAGGTGTGGCACACTTGTCTAACTTTTGTATACGAAGTCAACTGATCGACATTAGCAATTCCAAATTCCCGTTGTCCATCATTCACCTGTTGGCAGCGAAAACCTTCTGTCAGAAAAACGATTTGCATAAGATACTGATTCTCAAAGAGCTAGATGAACAGTTCTGAACTGAGAAAGACACTCAAAGAGCTAGATGAACAGTTCTGAACTGAGAAAGACACGTGCCAAGAAGGGTTCACATCCAGAAGACGGAGGTGAAAGAAGATCAAGATCCCACACTATCATGATTGATATAATCCACGAGATCTGCTAGAATTCAGTGTTATATGGGATGACTGACCAAGTACCCGATGACGACGAAAGATGACGATGTCATTGTTGAATCTCGAGCTGACGTACTTCTGACGAGACGGTGCTTCCTCTTATGGAGATCAAGCTTTGAAATCATCTCATGTGATATCTCCATGCACTTATCTAAATTTGAATATCTTGCAGTTAACCTTGGAGAAGCTAGGTTGCATAGCACGGTCATTCAATGTTACCTCGTCCCACGTCACTCAACAGCAACTCTCTCTGTGAACAAGGCCTTCACCTTCCTCTTCGATTTCACTTTCTGCTCATCCCCGCTTTCAGCCTCCAGCAATAAAGCCTTCACCTTTCTCTTAGATTTTACGTTTTGTTTTTTAGGAGAACGCAAATGCTGTGGCAAAAGATTCTGCTGGGAAGAGAGCTCTGAAATGAAAAGAACAGTGTGCGCCCAACCAGCATACGTTCCGAATCGTTTCACAAATGCATCTTGAACCTCTTGATGAGCTTTGAGGGTCAAACTCCGATCCGCAAGTTCTGGTAAAAGATAACGCACCGCAATCTAGACAACGAACAAAAGACAACAATTTAAAATGTGGAAGTTGTAAAGAAGATTTGACGAGTTTCAAAAATAATTATATGAAAACCCCAATCTGCGAAAGTAAAACTCTTTCAAGTAAACGATAAAGTCCAATTAGAGATCTCGATCAATGAATGCTCAAAATTGACCTTCTTCACATTTGCGTTGAAAATATTCAAAACTTAAAAATTACTGTTGGTCTTTTGTACTTCTTCATGGTGATAAAAGACCTTCTGTATCAATATCAATATAGCGACACAATCTTGTCTTACCTGCCAGACATGAGTATCGACGGGGATGGCATGGTGCTGATCCATTGAGAACAACGCGATGCATGCTGCTACCTTCGGCCCTACTCCAGGAAGAGTACACAACGACTTCACGACTTCTTCCAAAGGAAGCTGTCGTAGTGAAAGAAGCCACTCTTCTCCTCCTCCTTCCTTGCTGAGTAGAGCTTCTGTTGCGCCAACGACATATTTTGCCCTGCATCATATCCTCATTCCGATTAGTTTAATAATCGCTTATGTCCATTCTTTTATTTCAATAAAGCTTTGTTGAGTTTGTACCAAGGTTCGGCAGCTCGACGCTGAAAGCAAAAAAGTACCTCCTAGTTGGAATGAAATAATCAAAAGCTTATTATCTTCTCACTGCTGTGAACGATGAGAGCAGAGTTAGATACATATTTTCTGCTGAGTACATTGAAGTTTGCATATAAAGGAGGTGGGCATTGCACATTTTCTGGGAAACCGATGGTTTTATTGAAGGGAAAATGTTGTCGTGAAGTTGGACTGCAGGAGAGAGTACTAAATCTCCACCTTCTTAGAAACATATGCCCATGAATCCAAGAAAGGAGAGAATGGAAATGTAACCCATAAAGAAGAAGGGTCAGCAATTGTGAGGAGTAGGAACAGACTGGAAGTCGACGGATAGATCCCACCTCTCGACAAAAAAAAAGAAGTGTACAACTAGACTGAACTAATGGAGACCCTGATTACTCTCTTGAGCGGAGAAAAGACCATGTGACATGCAGGTCGGAAATAGGCAGTAAGACAAAACAACTTCTTTCTTCAGGCATTGGAAAACTTCTGCACTACGATTCTTCTTGGGGATATTGCAACCTGACAGTCCGAAGCGCTCAAGCACACATCTTAGCGGGTACAAAAAAAAAGAAAGCCACAAGAATTACCTATATCCAAAACCAGCATCTCGAAGTTGAGCTTCTGTCAAAGAGGCCAGTTGCTCCAGTGATGGAAATGCATGAAAATCGAGGCCCTCGACGGTACCCAGATGACAACCCTTACTCGCAAGAAACTCCACCATGCCAGAGATGCGCGAGATATGATTATTGGAGGAGCATATAAACTGAAACAAGCACTCCACTGGATTCTGCCTCAGCAATCTGGCTCCTGTGAGATAGGGAGACACAGCTGCAAACCTAACATCCGCCAAATTGAAGTCAGCATACAGCTTCTCTAAAGAGGTGTCCATGTTCAAGTAATCCCGCAGTTCTGCCTCTGCATTGTCATGTTCATCTGGCGTGTGCACCAGAAACGAAATTGCCTCCCGACACTGCCGCAGGGAGATCAGATGCGATCCCACAACTCCCGTGTACTGAGAGGCACCCGTGGAACGCCATCGAAAGGTCTGGCCTGTGACTACCGTGAGAGGCAAATTCAACTCCACAGTTGAAACACCTAAACTACGCCACCGATTTTCCTCCTTCACTGCAGAAACGATGCTTCGGCCAAACAGCTTCCTCCGTGACGTGCTCGTTCGGGTAGGAATCGGCCGTTCAGAAATGTGAGGAGATCCTGGCGGAGTACATGACCGCTTGACCACAATCATGGCCATAGCACAGCGATGCAACTCACAAACCACCAACCGCATCAGCAATTATGCGCGTACTTCTGAAGTTCCCATCCCCCCCCTGGTGGATTCCTGTCATTGACCACACACTGCCACCATGATCTCTCTTTCGTGTCGACCACACAATTTCTCCAGCCGAACTGACATACTATCTGCAAGTAATCACCATAAGAATTGTTTGCTTCGTGTACGCTCTCAAGGGAGGATCACCGTCAGAGGGTTCAGATGAAGTTCTTGAACTCGAAACTCTTGAACGTCGAGAAGTTTCTTAAACTTCTCGATGCTCTCAGCTTCTTCCTTCCCAATCAGGTGCAGGCTACTTCAGTGCTTTGCTGAAATTTCTGCGAATGCTCAAACTTGTTTTGAGTTAGAAGGTCGAGCGATGTTAGCTGCGCTTGCATGTCAAGAAGGTGAACACTTTACGTGAACAAACTATGTCCAAGGTTTGTACGTGAACAAATCCCACGAGATTCTAGCCTCCGCACGCGCCTCTGTCTCTGTCTCTCTGAACCAAAACAAAATTCGTCCATTTGATCTTTAGCCTTGGCTGTCAATAGGTCCTTGTGAGATGGTGCGGGTCTTCGAGTTCAGACTTCGACGGGCTTGTTGAGGAATAACTCACGTCGAGTACCAAGATTTCACTCTTTTTAATATTTTAATAATCTCTTCCCTAAATATAGAAACAAATAGTAGAATCGAATTCTTGATATTTTTTAAAACGCGTAGAGAGAAAGCAAAATTTACAAGAATAAAAACACCAAAAGAAATGAAATATTTTTTTTTTATTTTTTTTTTGACTCGAATACCTGCATTAGATTACCGGGATTTTGGTTTATCTAGACAATTTCTTCGCGAGACGTCTCATTTAATAGAGATCTTGCTACTCTTCGAGTAGCAAGATCTATCTCACTTACTATATAACGAGAGATTTGCTTGATGGGACAGTGCGGAAAGTAATTTGTTTGATGGTACTCTTCAGGTTTCATTTTACCGGATGTGACCTCATGAAAGATGCACCGTCACCCATGTTCTTATAACAACTAGAGAGAGTGCAACGAGTCCACCGCACCCGTAGACAGAGCGTACTTCGCACTTCATCACACTCACTTGTTTTTATGTTGTCATTCTGTATCCGGCCGCTCTCCAAGGAGACGAACAAAGAAATGTTCATCCAGAGCTTATTTGTTCGCCACACACACATCGCGAGACTTGAGCTCGGACCACGCAGGGTTACGGAAGGAGTGTGCAAGTGGGAGGCAACAGAGAAATCCGCGAATCTTTACGATCGGAAGAATTGAAGCACAACAAATTGCACTTCGAGCAAAATCGATCTTTGTCCCGTGATAATCCACCAAAAATTATAATCAGGATCGATCTCTTATTGTAATTCCCGCATTGTAACTAGTAATAATCGTAGTTACAAAAACTATGTCCGACGTCACACCGTCGTTGGGGTCCCATCGGGTAAAACTAAACATGAGGGATCCCATCAAGCAAATTACTTTCCGCATGGGTCCCATCAAGCAAATCTATAATTCTATACATAGATGTACGGTAGATAAACTTTGTTTACCAAATATAGCTCGTGAAAGTAAAATTTAAACATAAAGAATTGTAGATATTATGTTTGCTGTGAGGTATATTATTCGCGTGAAATTAACACTACTAATTTTTAGACATAATTATATATACAAACTTGGTAATAATCTATCATATCATTTGACATAGTATTTTGGAAAATTGTATTTTATGCTTTTAGATATAAAAATATGAACATATTTAGTAATTAATAACAGATAATATTTTTCACTATCCCGTGGAGAATTACATCCAACGTGTTATATGGACACTTTTTTCAGAGGGCTTATCCACTTGGCCTCTTCTACAATAAAACTCTGTTAATTGCTGGATGGTTCCCAAAGTATTTTTCTTGTTCATCCATTTCCTCTGCTAAGAATCTAAAACTCAAAGAAGATGTATGACGTTCTCACTTCATCTGATTCAAGCAGAGAAGTTATTTGAACTTCACATTCGACATGGCTCGCATGGAAAAATCTGAAAAACATAAAGTAGCCAAGATGGATAAATTCGGCTCAAGTACATAATTCGAGTTTGCCTGGTGACACTCTTCAAACACTGTCTGCAAAGACGTTGAACACGTCTCCTCTGTACACCGTACACATTCATATCAAATCTAATGAATGAACATTCCTTGGAAGCGCTGAAAGTCTCGCGAAATATCGACAGTTAACTACTAATGGTAAACCCACGTCAGGTGTAGCCCTGCAATGTCAAGTCTTATTTTGGAAGATTTGAAGGAAAGTGAGGTAGCGATTGGCCTTTAGTATTGAGAAAAACTAACATGAGTTCCTTCATACATTTCCAGAGCAACTTCAAATACTTTTAAGCAAATTTTGATTCACTTGTCCTTCACACTGTATAACTGCTAGCGATGTACTTCGCATGTAGGTTTCGACTCGAAGTGCTTCTCCCTTCCGAATGTTGCGGTTTCAAATTTTGTAGGGATGCCACGAGCGTTTACATTGGTATACTTCCTTACCAGGTGATGCCAGCATTTGCATTTATTCAGTAGACTTTCGTAACTGAACTTTTAAGTGGGATGAGAGTAGGCACCATTTACTGTACTTCAACACATTCGATCACTGCTTGAGTTCATGAAATTGATGGAATTATCCACACGATCTGAGATGACAGATCCTAGCTGTCCTCACAAACAGAACATTCTCATTAGTTCAGTCAGGATGGTGCAAGACTTACCTTACAAATAGCTGTTCCCGGAAGGTCCAGGCGGGCAGGGAGACTTGGGATGTTGGCCGTTTGTTTGGGTCTGATACAAATGACATGGGCTATGCTACTCTACGAAAGCCATACAGAAAATTGGGAGGCACATTTCCCAGGCTCTATGGCTTCCTCATTGCCACCTCAGAGACAGATGCAAATTTGTCTAACGTCTGAAGACCCTTAAGTATTAGTGGCACAATCCTCACTAAGATCTAATGCTAAACGCTTTTGCTGTAAATAAAATGATCATCTATTAAGTATGGATCCCATGTATAAAAATCAATTGTAGATATCCACAAGTCACTCACTACCATTGGTCAGCTTCCTCCGTGTAGCCCCAAAAATCGTCGTCATCGCTATCATGGGCGTCCTTTTCAGCAGTAGTCTTCTTTCCTGTCTCTGATCCTGATCGTGACCTGTGTGTATACACAAGAAAAAATTAAGCAGTTTACTTCGGTGTTGATTCATTGATGAACACCATTACTCATCAAAAGAAAAACTTGCTAAACCTCCAGTGAGGATTGTCTACTCTTGGCAGAGTTAGTAAGTAGCTTAAAATGCTTCCATATCCATCCTGCTTGCGTCAAGAAAATCGGGTTCGACCACTCTCCAGCACAGGTGAGAGCATTCTCCATCCCCTCAGCCTGAGAAGGGGCAAAGTAACTACATGGTCCCTGAAGAGCATGCAGTCTCCCCGGTGAAGAGTTCAGAAATCTAGGCATTCTAGTTCCACAGCCCGCAGTTGCTGCTATCCCTCAATCCACATCGTTAAAGTATTTAAGTCCTGTTGAAAACTTGACACTTTGTAGAAATATGCGGAATGGTGCATCTTCTATGCTGTAAGAGGTTTCAGAGCTTGCCTTCAGTACTAACTACAGCTTGTAACGCTAAAGTCTGTAACAAGTTAAACTCACGGGCTTACAACAGAGCAGACATGCTGCTTTGCGGCTCACACCGCGTGATTGAGCCAAGAACTGAAAGCTTCTCATTTCGATATTTATTCCCTATGAAGAGAAATTGCCTTAGAAACAAATCGAATTCAAAAATTCTCTCAAGAGCGAAGTTTGAACCTCGTGATTCAGGTCACTTCTGTCTATCGAACAATTTATAGCCGAGAAGTTCAAACAATATTCCAATCTTAAGAGGCAGTTGGCTATATCGTGCGGTCATCCCATCGTCTACGAAAACAAAAGCTTTGTTTCAACAGCGGGATACAATTAGTTCTCAGTACCAACTCACCTATAATCTTTCTTCTTCTTGGTCTTCTTACCACAACCGGATGGTTCTTTCTGAAGTTTCCAAGTGTTTGCAGAATTGTTGTCGTACCTGAGAGAAAACCAATTGGATATTACGAACAATATCACTCAGCTAGAGGCCAGAAGTGAAGGGCTGATCAACCTACTTTTGCTGTTACTGAAAAAGTGAGCTGGTAAGAAATTGTTACCGCGGCCTCCTCTTTCGATTAAGAGCCGCCTGTTTCTGCTTTCTCTTTATTACATCCTGAGGCGTCTCACGGTACCGGCGCCGATAGCACTCCCTCAGCACACCGGCCTCCGCTACAGCATGGCGAAATCTCCGAACAATGGATTCCTCGGACTCGTTTGGAGAGACAAAAATTTGGGCGTTGTATGCGCCTTTGAACCACATCACATTCGCATACCGCAAGGAAGGGTCCATCCATGGAAGCTTTGAAGTGACATCCGCCTGGCTACCGGCTTCATTTCTCAAGAGATCCCATGGGCTCCTAGATTCTGGTTTCGATCTAGAAGAGTCTGAATCATCTAGGGAGTTTTTGTCTTCCCCAATCTCCAATTTCTGAAGACTCCATGCCAATGAATCCTGAATGTGTGGAACACTGAGCGCGAATTCCTCCTTCACAATCGCAGGTGACACAGCCAGAGCAGCACACGGCGAACGGACAACAGGTAGCCTCACTCGCTTCACAAGATTCTCAGATGACGTAGAGGGGCAAAATCGAGAAGGAGGATAGCTGGTGAACGAAGATGTAGCAGGCCTCGTGAGAAACGGAGCCTGCCCTGCAGCCATCTTGCTGCAAAGTCGAAATTTATCAGCACCTTAGAAAATTCTCAAGTAATAAGTACGCATCCTTCTTCGTTAGCTTCGTCCGCACGACGACTGCGAAGACATGAAACCCGATGTTCGCAGATAAGTGAAGTCGAGTAGAATCCAATCCAACAAACTCGTCAGGTCACTCACACTCCCTACCTGCGCTCCAAACTCATATCTATAATCCTCTTCTGCATGCCCTATTTCAAAAGTCAGTGGTTTATATCACAGATCAATTGCAATCCTAGTAAATAGCATGCAACGCACTCGCCCACTCGAGCATGCAATTTTCAGTCACTTAAGCCACTTGACCTGAGGACTGTCTCTCATGTTCCGAGCCAAAAAGCTGCCAGAATGCTCGATTAAGATGACCGCAAGCGTTCAAGCTAAATGCAGATTTGGTGTTAGTCTTCGGCATTTGAGCTTTGATTCTTCTGAACACGAATGCATGTCCATTTTCGCCCATTTTCGTCCATTTTCGCCTATTTACTGCAGCGCGTACACGCCTTAACTATGTCACACTTCCTACGTACCACGTTCGCTTTCGTAGCCCCAGATTCTTCGCAGGCTATCGCAGTTAACTTCAGAGAAGATTTTGGCCCGAACGAAGTGTCATCAGATGCTTGTCACAACTGCCCACGCTGCAAGTTTCGACCGCCTGTGGAATCTGGACGAGGTAAAATTCCCTCAAGTACAGTAAGCTCCATGTCGATGTCGCTTTTGGCATTTAGTTCAGACCCCAATCACGGCACCTAATGTCGTAGATGCTTAACGCTGTAGTTACCCCATTGAAAGATGGTTATGAAACTTTTCATGATCCCTGCGGATGAATCAGGACCTATACTATCGGCATTCTTGAGGTCCCCCGTGGCGAATGTAGTGACTATGGTCTTCCCAAAGTGTTGCAGCCGCCAACTTCTGTAGTTTCAAGTACTAATGTGATATTCCATGAGTTTATAATTCAATATTAAGCAGCATGAAATGAACTGGAAAAAATATGACCCTGACTTAGGAAGCCTGGACGCACGGAATTTTAAATAATAGAACCATCTAATAAAATTAATATTGATATGAAGATATGAATACTGGAAAGAAGCAGAGAGTGCAAAACCTCTCCGTCCTCGTTCTTCCATATCAGTATCGAACAGTGCATTATATTGTGGGGTGATTGCAGGCACCTATGGTCCAGCCTATCGGCAACACAGCAAACTTGTTCGCCATCGAAAACTTGTAACTAGAGTTCCGACATTTAACTTTGGGAGTTGGACTTCGGAACTTTAGTTTGGTCGTAGTTTTCATAACCCTTGTATCCAATCCAAGTTCACGTTAGTCAATTCTATCCTGCTATAGTGAGAGTCATGCAAATTTCGGAATCAGTGAATACGTAATAAATATGTCGCAAGACTCCAACTACAAAGGAAGCAATTTAATTCCACTTTATTAAAATTCTTAGTGAGAAATATTATTTTGTGATTTAGGACCAACAGAAGCACCCAAGTGTTCTTGAGTGGGTTCTTATGGCGAGCACTCGTAGGACCGAGTGGATGCGTTTGATTCCCGATATGCAGGAGACAAGTCAACAATAGCGCTGCTGGATCGATCGATCCCGCGATTCCCACCGGATTCATGCGACCGACCCTGCGACCTTTATGAATCATAAAGCAGAGGAATTGTCTGTGGGCTCGGGTGTCACTTCAACATACAGACTCTGCCGGCCAATTTCTCATCGAGTTGGTTTGCTTTCTGCTTGGGTTACTGGAGTATGAAATTGGAGAGTAGAGTGGGAGGATTGGCCGGCTGAGTCTTCGGCCATTCGGATGTGGACCTTTGCAGGATCGTTTGTTATGGCCTTTAGCTCGTGGGCTTAGGGTTTAAGAAAGCGGTGTCGGGATTGGGGTGATTGGAAACGATGAAGAGAATTGGGGGGCACAGTTGGATCGCGATGGATCTGGTGATGCTGGCCGTGTTTTTTCTTCTTGGTTTGGTTGCGGGAGTGGAAAGTAAGACTGTGGAACCGTTTCGGAGAGATGTCGGCCATCCGCAGTGGCACCATGGCACTTTCCAAGATGTTAGTGATATGGTCAAACGAGAAGCTCATCATCTTCTTCACTCTCGTGCACGGGTACTTTTCAAATATTCTTATCTATTTGGGGTTCTGTTCATGGAAAGGAAAAAAAGGGTCAGGCCTTTGTGTTGTTTTCCTTCTTGGTTTGTCGAATTTGGTCAGTGGGAAATCGGATTGTGTCGAGAATTTGTCACCAAGTCGAAGAATTGAATTCTAGAATTGAGGTAGTTTTAGCATAAATTCAAAGTGATGTTAACTCAGATGTGTATGCACTGGTAAGCACCCTTTGAATGCCTTCTGGATTTCGAGCAGAGCAGAAGTGATCAAATGAGATCCCAGATCAATGACAGCTGTACAAACTGGACAAGAAATACAACCTTGATATGAAAGCTTAGAATCTTTGGAGCTGGAAAGACAAGTGGGTTCTGTTTTAAGAAACGATTTGTGGCCCTACAGAACGTTTGAGAAAATTAAGAGCTAAGCTTAGAGAACTCAAAACAAGTAGGCACCGTTCTGCTTGAACTGAAGCACAAGAAGCTCAATCAAGGATGAGACATTCTTGACTGAAAAGAGCTATCATCCATGTAGTCTAGAACTGCCAGGGATTATTTTGCAGTAATTACATTTGTCAGTTTAAGTCCTATTTTTTCTATGCCCATTTATTAAGAAGTACAGACCACAATCAATTGTCCGCTTTAATCATTTGCGAGTGGGAAATACACTGGCTCTCCCATGTTTGTAAGGCTCTATATTTTTTTTTACTCATGTTGCCTGGACGATGTTCGTCTAGGTTCCATTCCATGTTCCTCTCGAGATCAACGTCGTTTTAGTTGGATTCAATGGAGATGGCGGCTACCGCTACAGTCTAAACGCTGGAGAGCTGAGTAACTTCATGAAAAGTACTTTCCCAACTCACAGACCAGCATGCTTGGAGACAGGGCTGCCACTTGATATCGAACATGACCTTTACTACAATGTTATTCCGGTAATGTACTGAAAACTAGACTAAATTTCTTTGTTTTCTTGTTTTTGCTCCCAGCAAGAATGCTCTTACTCGACTTACTGTTAGTACTTATATATATCTTATCTCATCAACTAAAAATTGACTTCCGAATGTCAAGATTGGTGCTTCGCCCCTAAACTAGGACTTGTTTTTACAGGTGGGTCAGCCTGAACTTATCACGTTGGAGTGGGAAATCAAGAAAAACATGGTTCTTGCCGGCACTGCAAGAGAGGTTCGTAATTCTTATGTACATTGCAGTAACAACTGGTACTGTGTGCTTATGCTCTACAATGCCTCCAGTTCGTCTCAGTCCGGTTCAGTCCTCCTTGGCAACTGCTGAAATAGACGCGTGAAATGTGAAAGTTTCACGTGGGGACTGTGCAAAGTCGAACATAATAGTTCATTTTTGTATAAGTCAAGTTGTCTCCTCGACTTCTTGTTTTCGAGATATTTTCCTTTTATGTTAGTTCTAGACTTGCTGAGCGGAGGCATGTTTAAAATCAAAGATCGAAGCTCGATCTTTGGTTTTAAGGCGATGACAGCCAAATACCACGAAGTACAGTTTAAATTTGTTTTGCATTGGGAATCTTCCAGTCCACACAGTAGAACATCTGACATGGGAAATCCGAATACTTGAGGATGATTTTATCTCATTATGTCTGAGGTTTGTCTTGTTTCCATCTGTACTTGAACAGAATGAGTGGGGAAGAGAAATACCACTATACGAGGTGGAGGCAACCATATTAGAGACCAGCATTCTTGATCGACTCTATACTTTCCTGTTTGGTTATGAAGCATCTTCTCACAGTAGTTCTGAGCTGAACAAACCTGTGCCAAATGCGATATTCATCTTCAATTTCGACAAGGTTACTCTTTCTGACGTTTAACAGCTTTGTTTTAAGAGTTTTTTTGTTTTTCTTTCTGTCGTTAAGAAATGTGCACACTTCTGACAGGAAAATCCTTACGACAAGGGTTTCTAGCCGATCAAGATCTTTTATGTTTTATCACTTTTCGGTCAGGTTATTGGTCGTCAAATTCGTGCCTTGATGACCTACTGAATGGTCTGAGCTTCATCATCGACTCTGTGAGCCATCTATTTGATACAGTGTCAGTAAACTATGACATGTATTTTATGCTCTCAGCCCCGGATACACGCACGAAATTACCTAGCAGTTAATTTTCTTGTATATAATACTTAAGTTTTTCATCACAGGTCAGAATGGATCCACGAATAGATCACAATCAATCTACGTTACATATGCAACTTTCTGATAGAATTCAAGAGCTCACACCCGAAGAATTAGCTCAGCAAGAAGGAGGTTATACTTACCGCTACAGGTACAACGGCGGGGCTGCATCACAAGTTTGGCTTGGTTCTGGAAGGTATGTTAAACTTGATGTGTGCGCTGTTGTTCTTATGAGATCATGTGATGTATCTCCTCCATGGATCTCGAAGTTGCCATTGTCAAAAGCTGTTGATCAACACTTATTAAGGAAACAGCATATCTGATACGCACCTTTTTTAATTTTGTTACAGATACGCAGTTATTGATCTATCTGCTGGCCCATGCGTTTATGGGAAGATAGAGTCAGACGAAGGCAGTGTTGGTTACCGGTCAATCCCTAGACTGCAGCACTTACTTTTTCCAAGAAGGCGAGACCCAGTAAGCAAGAAAGACACTGAGGAATCTTTTCGTGGCCTGCTTTCTTCTCTCATTGTTTCAGCGATTGAGCACGTCATATCTCCGGATGTCAGGTAATATATGAAAGGACTTCTCGGTTGTGCTCGAGTGTTTGTACGATGTCTGTTTTTTGGACCATTTCTCATAAATTTTTAGAAACCATGTGGGCTTTGCAGACATTTAATATGCACAAAAAGAGTCTAAGTACAATCACGGGGATAACGAAAATAGCTTGAGAGCGCAGAAGTTATCTTCGGTCGAACATTTCATAGGGTCACCTTATCGAGTTGGTTTCTTATGTTCTCGGGCTTGATGTGTGTGTCGTTATTGTTTTTGTGGAGAAAGTATGATTTCTTGTAGGCGATTAAGGTCTCTCTTTCGGTCTATTGCCCAGACACGTATGCGTACCTATATCAGACTTTACAAATTACTAGGAGCTTGGTTATTAACAAATTTACTTTGTGTGCGTTGCTTGCCTCCGATTTGACTCTCTGTCTGCACCCTGCACGTGCTGTTCTCTGTGTACGCACCTCTGTTTATGAATCACTTTTAACCATCTTCGATTTGTACCTTATGCAGATTTGAATACGTGGATCCTGCAATGCGCTTGCTAGTTCCTGTAATTGTGATGCGAAATCACAATCAGTACAATCCATTGCAACCTGGCACCAACTTTTCAATAAACATGACCAACATCGAAGAAGAAGTAAGTGTTTCTCTCCTCGAGGACTTTCACTGATCAACAGTTGTGACGTATAAAATTTGTTGTTGGAACAAATAGTGGGAAGATGATGTTTGTCTTCATGAGGCAGGGATGTGCAGGTGAGGCTCTTCATACTAAGGACTGTGGACAATAAGTAGGTCATTTCTCAGCAGATAGTAGCGCAGAACATTGTGTTAAGCTGATAGTGCAATATTCAGGTACGGAAGATGGTACCTCCAGGACAGGAGGTCGTAGTTGTTGGAGGAGTTCACAATCTACATGATCACGAGAAGTTGGCCATTGCAGTAGTTAAAGCTCTGAGAAGTCATTCTGTTCACGAGACTCGTAGAGATGGTCGCTTCCATGCACGTGCAAGAACTTACCTCGACGGAGCTCTTCTCAGAGAGGTAGAGTTGAGTACGAACTACAAAAGTCCGTGCTTGTCCCAAATGAATTCTCTATCCTCATATTAGTTTGGCTCTCAGGATGCTGTGTACTCAGTTCGTACCTTTTGGACGTTTCCGTTTATCCCATAGTTTACTTTAGCTGTACGAACACCCTATTTTTCTAGAGTCCAAGTGTTAGCAGGGATACTGAGCTTAATCAAGATTAAAATCATAAGTATGTGCCAGTTTAAGCCTGCGTGTTTTAGAACATCAGTATTTATAAGCTGTACTCTGATGAGACAATGTGTGTTTTTGAGCCGTTGATCCGTTAATGTGCAGGAAATGAGACACTCGACAGACGTGCTAGCTGCTGGATTGCTTGACGTTGCGGACCCATCTCTTTCATCCAGATATTTCAGGAACGAGGTACATGACAAAATAATTCCGATTTTTCCAACTTTGCGCTAGCACTGTGTTAGAGCAGTATAGTTGTTGTATATACCAAACCAGTAGCAGTGGAACTTATAACGCGCTTTTGGAAAGGTTGAGCACTGAGATCTATCTTTTGGATCTTTTAATCTCATACACGCCTTTCTTTATTTCTGAAGAATCCACAAAGGTGGGGAGCAGATATAGACAACACCACAGAGGAATCCGTTATCCAGTCAAGGCCTGCCAGGTGGGGCACGCAATTTCTCACCAAAGATAAAGAGGCAAAAAAGAAGGGCAGCCCTAAAAAACTCAAAGGAGGACTGGCGGTAGAGAAGTCGTATGGCACACGAGTCATCCCTGTGTAAGTCTTTTATTTTTTTCACATCCTTCTCTTGCTATCATTGCATGAAATTTTTATCGCCATAATGGTTTATATGGGGTCACTTCGAGGAGATACTTCTAGTCCTTGTCTGCATCTCAACGACTCCGAATTTTTTCTATCTGCTGTAATGATTACAGCCCCATGTTGGAACAGTCCAGTTTCGAAAAAAATTTTGGGGGCATTCTCGATGGCTTTCTTACTGCATTGTTCAGCCCACTATGGAAAGGCAAGTTCACTTATACTGATCGAGAATCGTTTGTCTTTCTACAGATTCGTGCTCTCGCTGAATGGGGTTGACTCTGAGCTTTTGATGGAGGGAGAAGGCCTGATGTGGTCTAGCCATGACTCAGTGTTTGTTTTGCAGCACAACAACGATTCGGTGCCCTTGAGGTAAGAGAAATTACATCTCGATTGCACATGCTTCTTATGAATAATTTTTGTTTGTGATTGGGTGATCATGGTTTTTTACAAAACTCAACATGGAACTTTGTTTGCTGTGTTTCTGTACGTTCCTTCCGCAGCTATGTCTCTGATACAAAGAGGAGGGAAGCTATTGCGAATGCACCCCAGCGACACATAATAGCAGGATTGGCATCCGTCGTTGGAGGACTAGGGGCACCTTATGAAAGAGCATCGCACATTCATGGACGTCCTATGCATAATTGGTTGTGGGCATCAGGACATCATCCATTTGGTCCCTTTTCGAACACTTCCAGTATTAGCCAGTTGCTCGTAGACACAGCTCTGGTAAGTCGTTCGAAAGATAACAAAAAGCAAGGACTTTCATCCTTTTTTTGGCTGTGTTAGAAGCTGATTCAATGAAGCTTGTTAAAGATTGTGTGGAGTATAGTTCATCCTGAGGGTACGGGAGGACATATCAGCGTGCCAATCTTTTTCAAGTATACGGGTACTGTTTGAAAATTGTTAGCCTGAGCAGCTTCTGTGTAACAGGTTCAGCAATCCATATAGCTCTAAATATCTAGTTCTCTGTTGGATGCAGCGGAATACAATATACTCTCGTGTGGATATGGCTCTGCGGAAGATTAGAGATGCAAATGAGAAAATTCAGGCTTTCACTAGTGAGTACCTGCAGACTCCTCTAGGAGAGAAAATTAAAGGTCAACCAAAGAAGCCTACAGTGGAGCTATGGTTGGACATGTTTTACAAGAAGAGCACTCCTCTTCCACAACCTGTCCCCCAGAATGCAGTCGACCGTCTAGAGACTTATCTGGATGGCTTGGAGGATCAGCTGGTAAATCTTGCAGCACAGCTTTATGATCATCGTCTGCAAGATGCATTCAAGAACTCTACAACGGTGGTTCGGTCATCTTTATTTGTTCAAGAGTAAGTTCTTTGTGGTTTCAGGTGCATTGTGCTGATACAACAAGTGAGAGTGAGAGTTTATTAAACCATGAGATTGCTTGTTTAGTCATATCTAGATTTGTTATATAATTGTCATTGTGTGAGCCTGATTTCTCTTTATTTTGCTAATCGAAGTTCTCGTGGCTGGTGCAAACAGCTATGTTGACCACGTGCTCTGGAGAGAGAAAGAGAACATGAGATGTTGCCGTGTGGAGTATAATTCACCCCAGGGTTCTTCACAGGCATTTGTGTATGGAGGAATCTTAGTAGCCGGCTTCTTGGTCTACGCCCTCGTTATTATTTTCTCATCCCCTGAGCGGTAGCTGATAGTTCTTGACCATAAGCAATGTCTTCTAGGAGCATTTCACCAGGAGCTCATCTTCATGGTACATCCTCGTCAAATGCCTCTTCCAATACATTACCTTGCCACAGTGCTGACTAGTCATAGCTCATCTTTCGAAGCACTAATCTTCATGTTACGTATGATGAGGATGATTGCCCCTACTGTCTCCAGCCCATGCAGGTACGTGATGTTGCCTGTTATCTTCCCATGGATGGGTTCAAGGTAAAGTAAATTGAACGTCTATGTTTTGTCATCCCTTTGACTACAAATACGAGATTTCACGTTTTTCGAAACTGTAGCAAAGAGTCAAATTCTGCTGCACCGTATTCAGCTGCAGCTTCGGATGAGTTACCGGTTCCTAGAGTAACGTAGTTGATTCTACTCAAACGAGGCAATTAAGATTGCTGACCTCATGTAATGCAAGCTTTGAGGTGCCCTTGAAAAGGAGCTTCCCTGCGTTGACCATGGGCCAACTGAGAAAGTGACTTCCTGTTGTGTTCAAATGCCTCTCGTGTTCATGACTCTACGTACAGTTTGCACTGGCATTGTATGGTCACAATGAGATCCCAACTCCAAGTCTTGATGGAAAGGCGAGGAAGGAGCATGTTAAAAGTGCGTGAAACGGATGTGTTTGTATCTTAGTGCATTGTGTTCGAAGAACCGCGTCACCAGCAACTTCCGGCCGTATTGACGATATTACACCCATTATCTCACACGTTTCTGACCTATGTGCTTCAGCTGCGCATTCATCCTGAAAGAGTCTCTGGTTTAGGTGGATTCTGATGAGAATCATGAATCTTATAGATGCTCAGTCTCGATGGTGGTAGAAATGTTTTGGCTGATGCCCACATCTAATCTTTGTCGCATAATACCGTCATCAGACGTAACTGTGTTCATACTGCAGCTACACTGTACCCACACTGCAGGTGGAGACATGTGAATGCTCTACTCTGACGAAACACTTACGTGATACAATACTTGAAATTTCATGATGTGGTCTCCTCTGTAGGCTATCATTTTTATTGAGATTAGTATGGACTTCGCTGAGGTGTGAATCATCTTTTCAAAACACTTCGAAGATATTTCTCACGAAGCTTATAAAACTTTAATTTAGTTCGATCATGATATGTTGTTAAACTACATACTAATACATCAGCTTAAAAGACTAAAATGTTTAGTTTTCGTTGTAACTACAATTGATTTTCATCTGGATTCCCATAAAGTAACGATAGATAGTTGTAATTACAAAAAATGTGTCAATAAATTTGATTTGTAATTTAAAAAAATAAATCAGATCGATACGTCTAATCTACCTACTTGAAGAAGGTAAGTCGGAAGAGAATTTCTCCTTCACTTGTTTAGCTCGTCACACGTATTTGAATTTATGTTAGATTTGCAAAACTTTCTGAAACTAAATACATCATTATACATTTAAAACTTTTAGCATCAGTTTTATAATTATATCCAATAGAATCGTCATCTAACAACTGCGAAATTCTAATCATAGATATGTGTAATCGACTTAAGAACATAAATTATTGATAGACTTGATGAGACTTAAATTTTGGAATCATTTAACTTGTGATCAATTAATTAGAAACTTAAAGCAAATATGACATGTAGTGTTGGTTGAGAATTCACTCTGGTTTGATCTATTAATATTCAACAATTTACTATTATCTATCAATCTTAAATTAGAAATAATCTTTTTTGAAAATATGGATATTCCCAATAAGTTGTTAAAAAATGAGGAAATATAAATATAAATACAATACTGCTTATCATAATGATATGACACTATTCATTAATCTTGGATGGTTAAGTGTAGAGATCTTAGGAAATTTAACTTCATGTTAATTTCATCTTCGGAGAGACCATAATCATGTCAAAATTAATTTTATTTTCTCTTCGCCTCGCTTTTCTTTCTCATTTTTTCTCCATTCTGTCAATAATGATTCTCCATATGTATATTCTTAACCATACATCGAATCTACTCAACCAAAAGTTCATATTCCAAACACTTTTTATTCTATTTTCCATTAGAGAGATTAAATACTTTAAAATTAGAAGAAAGATATGCAACATGGTAAATTCCAACACATTGACATTTAATTTGATAAACTTTGTTAACATGACAACTCTAATACTCAAAATAATAAACAAGATATAAATTCAATCAAAAGATAAAATATAAATTTTAAAATGAAAAAACTTAAAATGTTTCTGTTTTTTTGTAAACAGATATTTCCAACAAGTATAACAAGATAAGATATCATTCCACCATTCATTTCACTGCTAGTGAATTAATGATATGGATATAATTCTAACAAGCACATTTATTTACAACATATTGTTGTCAACTAACATACCTATTTTGTATCTGCTAATTGCACATATTGTTAATGTGATGATTATGGAAATTTTATTATAATATAACTATATCTCCATCTAGAATAATTTTAATTTAAGTTTTGATTAATTGAAATATGCAACAATAACGTTGTGCCTTAAAATGCAACATCCTCGTTACATATTGATTCAAGAATTTGAATCGTCAAATTTGCAATAGTTACATTTTAGTTGGTTTTCGGTTGATTCATATAATGTATATACTCTACATAGAATCAAGTACTTTATTTTGTGATAAGTATGAGCTCAAATTCACTTCTTGAATATCTTGATTACCTCAAATTTATCATGATCAATTATCAAGATGGAAATAGAAGATGACGTCAATTGATTTATGAATTATTTTGATCGTGATATATGTTTTTGCAATCGTGACACATAAAAAGCAAAATGTATTTTCATATGTGACAAAAGTTACAACTTGGATGACACTTAGTTAACATTTTTTCAATTCACAAAAGAATTGATGACTCTAGAGTTAAATTTTGATGTTACTACAAACGATCAATTTGTTATAGTTTACCAAACATAATCTCCTAAGTGAATTATCAACTCTTCACATTGAACATCTGCATTACATATGTTCATTGTGTTTGTATGTTATTTTTGTAGATTTTGAGCAATTGTCAACTTCTCTTTGACTTGAAGTAGACTTCTTTAAATATATTCCACAAAACCATTAAATCTACTTTGGTTGAAAACTATTCTCTTTTCAAAAACTTCATCAAACTTGATGGAGTTATGGTTTAAGCATTGTACATGAGGTTAAAAAAAACATTTTTGTGAATGCATTGATTGAATTGTTACATGCAAATTACACAAGAATAGCAACAATGTACACAATTGAATCAATTGTAACAAAGTTTTTTATAACTCACATATCAAATCCTTGATGAAATGTTTTCAAAAAAAATTTAAATGAAAAACGCTTGTAATAAATCAGAATCATATTTTGTTACTTGTTTTATTTTTTTAACACAATTTCAAACATAAGATTCTAAATATTCTTGTATTTTAGTTCAATGATACACTCGTTGTATGTTATCTAAAGTCTTCTTTGCTTTCATATGACTTGCAATGATTAAATTATGATTTTTTGATAATATCATTGTGCATGACATTTGATCTCGTGAAATCCATATACGTTGTTTGCAAAACGTCAAGCCTTGAACCTTTTGTGTCTTCTAAATTTCTAGTGCTCTCATGATTTTTTCATCCTCCTTTGTAACATATGTCATCTTGTCTCATCAATATGCTTGAATTTTCTAATTTTGCAACATGATTAACATATGGCATGCGTGTGAGAGCATTAGAAAGTTGAATCTTGTCTTTCATATATACAATTTTTATGTTGAAGAGTTGACATGAGCAATATCATGTCAACTCTTCAAATTATTATTTTTAACTAAATTTTTGTGAGTTATGAGATAAATCAATCATTTATTAGTGATCTTCACCACAAACATTTAGATATACTTTGAATGTCTTGTTGTCAACATAATGCATAATCTATTGTGTGGTGTTTCTCATCTGCTGCCACCAAGTTTTGAAGGAACAAAAAACCTGATGTCATACATCCTTCCATTCTTATTGAAGTATGACATTCGATGTTGTACTTTACGTCTCAATAGTCAACTTGATAGATGGATTAAGATTATATCATTTGATGATAAATTTGTATAACAAAATATCTTTAATTCTTGAAAAACTAAATTTTGAATTGTTTATCATCCTCAATCTTTATCTTTGTCTAGCATAGATGTCAAGGCTTAAACTAGACAAGCAAAACCTTTCACAAATCTACAATCTAGATAGGGGTAAAAAATATTGTTCATCAATCTCATGAATGCATTAGTGAAATTTAATGCATCATTGTATGCTCAAGGAAATCATATTTATTAAAAAAAAAATCTTGTGAATATCTTCATCCGCAATGAATACACTACGTGTAGTCTTGTAAATATATTACACGTAGATCATCTCAAAAAAACATCTTCATATCTCATACAAAAGTTGTAAAAAAATTCCTAAAGATTGTACTTAGATCAGATATTGTGTATCCCAAATAGCATACATTATTTCTAATAATTGATGTTTTACTCATAAATAATGAATTAAAATTTCTATTTTTAAATCTAAAACCTTTTCATGAATTCTTGAACTACTATTTTTTATTTACTTTCTTTTCAAATCTACCTCCAAATTATATAACATTTCATATATAACATTCCTATGATGACATCATATTGAGTTAAAAAAATATTTTCTTCATTCAATTTCTTTTTTGTATCTGCCTATAGATTACTTCACTTTGTGGTAATGTATCTATTGTTTCAGTGTGTCCGTCTAAAAGCTTGAGTTCTACATTCACATTCTTATCAATGTCAATCTTAACTTCATTTTAACATTTTGTGACATCTTGTGATAAAGAGTTTTATGTTACTTCAAAATTAATCAAAACTCTCACCTTGTGTTCTTTTATCATGTAATTAGAGACAATTAACATAAATTTTTTCTTGCTCCTTCCATGAATCTCAGTCCATTGTCTCCTTCCAACCCCTTTTTGTTGTTTTGTGAAATCAGTAAGATCGCGAGACAAGTTTATTGGATATTTCCTCTTTTTTTTGAATATTTCATTATCTTTAATTATATTTTGCATCCTTCATGTTGTTCAAAGATTCTCATTGCATTGAATGTTCTTCTTGTGATTGTGATTAAGTTAGGCAAAATTGTTAAGTTTTTCCGAACAGAACATGACTTAACTTAACACTATGATGCATTCTTTCACATGCATAATGTTGACAATTATCACAAACTTCTGTACCTCCTCAAACCATTTGATTATTTGTATATTCATTTTGCAAATTTAAAATCGCCAAATATCACCTCCAAATCTTGATGCTAGTCCTTGTGATGACGTATAAACTTTGCTACGTCAAAGGTTTTCCAACTCAATTGATGTAGGGCCAGTTGGATGTTGAACATTGCTTGATGGTTTACCATGTGTGATATCATAAAAACCTGAAATTTGTTGAGCAATTTTGATTGCTTTATTCATTATGGATCGATTGTTTAGCATCTTCTTTCGTACTTGATTTTTCAAACCTTGTTCAAATACGTTCAAGACTTTTATTCCATTCATATCCATGATGTATACTTGAAAATCAAAAAACTTGATAATGTATTCATGAATTCATATTTTCTGCTTTATCTCATAATCATATTTTTGTTGTTTGAAGAAAATCAATCGTTTGAATCTTTTGTAAAAATCTCTCCTACATTTCATTCTACAAAACATAAGCATCTTGTTTTGACAGCATTCATTCTCATGTGATGTGATGTATCATGTGATTGTCTCATACATGAGATAAGACACTTACATGAACATTCTCATTAACATTCTCATGACATCTCATGAATATTTGTGCAATAAAATCAAAAACATGAAAATGGATCATGAGTATATTCATACTCATGATCCATTGCTCGAATATTTTTGTTTGCTTACATCTTACATGACTTTTTAATTTGAAACAAAAGATTAA